CCGAATTCCATCAAACACTTTAAATCCACACTCAAAACTCATCTGTTTAGACAAGCCTACTCATTGTGATCACGTATGTATGATACTATTTATGATGCTTTTTTATGATTTATGTATGATGTATTTTAACATGTTTTTATGCAAGTTTTTACTATAGTTTGTTTTATTGTATTTTTTGTAAGGGGACCTTGAGTGTCCAGAAAGGCGCCAAATAAATAAAATGTATTATTATTATTATTATTATATTCTGTTCCTCCGTGAGAAATTCAAGACGGGTGCGTCGCACGGGGGTCGCCCATCAGCAATTACGCCACCGGCCCCACGCCACTCTCTCACAGCCCTTGGCCTCATCCCGCTAGCCACAATATCCACATGAACAAGCTACAGCAAGATGTCCTGTCCATGCAGAACGTAGTCAGACATTATATAAATGTCGTAAGTTGTGATGTATGAACTTCGCGAAAAATAGATTTCAAGCGACTTGTTTGAGCGGTTCAGAGTCGACTCTTTATTTTGAGATAAACTATTTTATATATGATGCACTATCAGCTTTACAACTTTGCAGACTGTATGAAAGGTACTTAAAGCTGCCGTCGGCAACACTTTTTTGATCATATTCAGCGAATTCGACACTATATTCCGACAGAACAACATAAATAAAGTGGTTTTAGAGAAAAACCCGAGCTTCTAACTCCACCTGGAGCGTGTTATTTGTTTTGCAAATTGTCCCCAAACCGTTCCCGGTTCATTGTGTCCAATCAGCGCAGGGGGGTGTGAGATATGACAGTCAATCAAGTCATGCACGCACATGTCAATTACATGCACACGCCTGAAGTTCGCGCAGTAGCAAATAGTGATGGCACAATAACGAGCACAAACTCTGTGGGAGGGTATTCTTTGATAGTGGGGGAGGGGCATGAGAGTTGTAAACATTCAAAATTTTGCCTAAGTCCACTCAATCGGCTAGAGTTGCCGACGGCAGCTTTAAGTTTTTTCTGTGTGTTTCATGCGTTTGGCTCTAGGCGTCAGTTGGGTTTGTCCAAATAAATAAATAAATAAATAAATGTTTCGATGAAATTGAGGAGATGGTGTGAACATGATCTTTACATGCTACAGCATGAGTTAGAGGGGAGTCTTCCATCACCTTGCTTTCTGATTGGGTATCGTTTCTTTTCACATAATAATCGGGTCGGGTCCAACGTGTTTTTAACACACCTCATAGCACAGGAAAATCTGATACGATAATCTGTAGAACCATCAAGATAATCAGGACTTTTCCTGGCATTGTAAGGAGGGGAGAAATTGGTCCAAAATCACCTCAAATTTCTTGTAGTGTGTACCCAGCATAAGGGTGTCTCTAAAAACAGACATCATGAACAGGCCAAAAGGTTCCAGCTGAAATTCAAGACATGTGAGTTGGTTGACGTGATTGAGGAAATGGGAAACCACTTCGCAGAGGACAGCAACAACATTCTGAAGCTGAACTCAAAAGAATTAGCAGACATAGCTGTTGTGGATGCTGTTCGGGTTGCAGAGAGGAAGGGCCAAGAGCAGAACAAACTATTTGTTGCAGAGAAGATGCAGGGCACAAAATCAATCACTGCCTGTTTGAAGAGGAACAAGCTCCCTCTTTTTAAAACAGCTCCAATAAGAGGACAGTCCAAGACAAAACTCACTGAAAAATGACTGTGCACTGTTTTCCAGACTCTACATTGCCTGTCAGACCTGTGTTGGGAACCTAGAACACTTCTTCAAAAAAGAAAATCGGGCCTACCCTCCATCACTCTAACTTTATGGTGGAGTATGCTAGGGAAACAAGGTTGCCCCAGACAGTGCCTCAAAAAACAGTGCCCCAGACAGTGAGGTCTAAATCAGCAGCAGAAACCAGGCATAGCTAAAACCATCCAAGACCTTTCCAGCAATATCTTCATACCTTATATCAAAGAGAAACTTGAAAGGGTCATCAGAGGGGATGTTGTATGGGATTACTATGAAGTTAACAGCTTAAAGTCCCAGAAGCGGGGAAAGGTGACAAGAACAAGAGTGGATGGAAAAAAACAAGTTAACAAACGAACTGGAAAGGGTTCCTGAGTAGACAAAAAACAAACAGAGCTCTTTTACTTTCTGACAAGGAACCTTGTGGAAATGTCGACTACCAAACAAGTTGTTTAGACATGCAGACCCAATAATCTCACGCACAAAAATCAGATCAGATTGCCCTTTGCACACATGAAGAGGCACATACAGGGATGCTACTCCTTGCAGCCTGTGCTGCAAGAAAAGGATTTAAAAAGATCACTCAGCGCACTGTGGACCAACCGTTGTGGTTCTAGCCAGAGCTGGACACTGAGGAGTTGTGGGTGGCATTTGGGACAAGCAAGAACTTCAGATACATACCTGGCCATGAGATTGCCAAGTCTCTGGGTCCTGAAAGGCTCTTTCTGTGTTTTATCCCTTCACTGGCTGTGACACAGTCTCTGCATTTGCAACCAGGTGCAAGAAGACAGCATGGGATAACTAGATCTCCGAAATCTCCGGAGGACGCTTTAGTGAAGACGGGACAAAACGGATTACTTTAGAAACGCTGAGCGTTTCAGAGGCTCACGCTCAGCTCTATGATTGAGTGTCATCAGTCATGACATGTCCTCGATTCGTCAACCACTGTTTACACCGACACGTGCATACCCAGTGTTGGTGAATGGTCACGTGATCCATTTTTCAGTCATTTTAATGTGGACGGAGATCAATTCTAATACGCAGATAAAACCCTGGTGTGGACGGAGATCATATTTGTTTTAATTTTCCGTTTTCAAACGAAAACGCAGTAGTGTGGACGCCCCAAGTTGTGGCTGTAAGAAAGGCTGCCAAGGGCATTACAAACTTAAAGTGCACAGCTCTGTGTCAATGTGGAGGAGACTGTCAAGAAAACATTGAAGAATAGGTTCAACAACAACAAAACAATCAAACAAACGCGTTTCTGAAATAGATTTTTTTTTTCAGTGAATCTTTGTGTATGACATTCTTTTTAAGCTATGTTGCTATTGTCATATTTAATATTCTATTCTTTACAGTCACTGTATATTGTCAAGGTTAATTAACAAAAGGATAAAGCTTTATAAACTCTATAATATCATGTGTTGTATGCATGTTGTGTAAAGTCTAGCCTAAGTTCTCAGATACTGTGATTTCCTTCTCATAACCCTGAATTCACTACTAACTATTCACCTCAACAGTTTATGATGACATCATCTTTTCTGTTATGTTTGAGGAGTTTTAGGAGACCACCACAAGGCGTTTTTACGATGGCTCAATTTCTGAAAATGTCCAAGGTCCAAACTGTACAAGGGTACCAAGTTTAATGCTTTTATGAAAAAGTGAATATATCACCTCAGATTTTGCACATATCACCAGGACTAATTAGTTAGCATTAGTAAATGCATTAACTAAAATCAGTTAATGGTGGGCAATACATTTGCAGGGTTCTCAAGTTTTATCAAAAGCTTGGAGTGAGATCACATGCGGTTAGGGGAGGAGCCCCAATGGAGCCACACCCCCACCCATCCCCGCTCCCCAATTTTAGCCATTGTTCATAATTAACCAGCACAAATTGAAATTATAATAATTGGTAAATCTCATAAATGACAGAGCAATTCATCACATCAAATATAGCCTATCTTTAATGTTATGTTTCAAAAAGTACAAAAATGAAAATCATATTAAAAAACGATGGGCTATATATTAAATGTTATAGCCTAAGAATGTTAGACGAGCTTTCTTCCCTTCTCCATCATGACGTGTGCCCGCGCAATGTTGTTGGTTACCTAGTAACGAACATACGGTGGCCGAGAACGTTCCGTCAATTTCCGTGTGTTCGCGCATCTATGTTGCCTAACGAACGCAATCTGTCCGAGAGATACATGCTGGCGGCAGGAAACTTCACTTTGTGTGCCAGTGCCTCGTATACAACGTTATATATAAAGCTTGCAGGACAACTTGGTTGGCGTTGCCTTTTCAGCGTGAGAATTACACGGTGTGGCGTGTGAGCGTGTGAACTGGTTGAATTACGGCCAATGCGTGAGACTTGAGAACCCTCACATTTGTCATAACAATTAATAATTTTTGATAACGTCAATTGATATATATATATATATATATTTATTTATTTTATTTTTTTTATTGTTAGTTCATGTTCATGTCCATTAAATATTAACAGCTACAACTTAGTTTGTTTTAGTTCATGTTAATTTCTTGTAAACATGTACTAATACATGATTAAAAACAAAAGTTGCATTTGTTAACGTAAGTTAATGCACTGTGAATTTAAATTAACAAACAATGGACAACTGTATTTTATTAACTAACATTAACAAAGATTAATAAATACAATAATAGATGTATTGCTCATTGTTAGTTGCTGTTAGTTAATACATTAATGTTAACAAATAAGATATTTTTGTAAAGTGTTATGTAGTTAACTAAAGTTAACAAATAGAACCTTATTGTAAAATGTTACCAATATATCATGAGAAAGCTGAAATAACTGTAATGAATCTCTAATAACTGATCAAAGTTCACCATCATAGACTTCAGATGTTTATTACCAGAGACCAAACATTTCAGCGGCAGAACAGCCTAATGATACTGAATACAATTAAAAAGAGCTCCACTCATGAATTTATTTATGAAACCCCATCAAATTCTGGCTGCTTTCAACCCTTTGAATTTGTTTGTACAGAGTACAGACAACTCTCAAAGTCAGTTTTAAAGCTGTGCGTTCTAATTAGCTGGCTTTTGCTACTTGACCACTGCATGATTCAACCTTTGCATACTGATGGCACCAGCAAGGAAAGGAGCAACAAGAGTTAACCGTCAAGATTCAAACAACCAGTTTTGTTTGATAATGAATAGAGATTCGTTTCATCATACAGTACAACAGACAGAAAAGCATAATAAAGCATTTGTATAATCATGAGCACATTCTCACACACACACAAGCACACCTGGTTTCTGCAATGTTGGTAGAGATCACAATCTTGCGCACTCCCAGGGGTGGCTTTTTGAACACCTGAAGGGAGCAAAGCGTCACTCATGAAAGATCACATTGGAGAGCTGTTGTGGGAGGCAGAGACCTTACCACAGCTGTCTACAACACTCACTTGAGTTTGAGAGACTGTGGGCATCAAAGAGTGGAGGGGGATGATGATAAACCGATCTGAAAGAGAGCATAGATTTGAGGAACAGTGTATTTCTTCTGCGTAAAGACAATTGTAACTGTGCCCAAAAATGCAGTTTTTGACACTTCTTTCAATAAACAATTATGGTCACTGACAATTATTGTTTTATCCTTTGAAACAATTTTTGGATTATTTCATGAAAACGGATTCATTTTGTTGCTCCTATAAGAGAATGCATTAGCTCACTTGTGAGGGCGTGAAAAGAGCTGTTCTAAATTTTAATAAAGAGGGGATACAGTGAATTGCGCTTCCCTCTTCACCTTTATAGCACACACACATTGATATAAACAGCATTCTCTGATGCTCTGTAACTGTAGCTCTTACCATTGCTGACTCAATGCAATCTTCCGCCAGATATGACGCTTGCCATTCAGGCAAAACAGTTCAATCTTTGTTTCATCAGACCAGAGAATTTTGGTTCTCATGGTCTGAGAGTCCTTCAAGTGCATTTTGGCAAACTCCAGGCGGGCTATCATGTGCCTTTTACTGAGGAGTGGCTTCCGTCTGGCCACTCAACCATACAGTAGGGCTGTGATGGTATGGCATTTTTTCCTTATCCCACAGTGCTGAATGAGATGAGCCTTATAACCACAGCCTACAGAAAGGTGATTTGTAGGTGAGTTATAGGCTATAATAAATGTGTCTGAAAAAATTAGGCATTTTAATTGTTTATTAATAAACTATTGTTTTCTAAATCAGTGTCGGCTAAAACATATCTGTGAAGCGGATGCATCTTTAGAGAGAAATGCACGTTTCAGACAGATTACATAATTAGAAGGTAGGCCTACCGGCATTAGCTTTCGATTCGAATTTGTTCCTTTTAAAGTGGAAATTTCCAGCTTTAGCCTACATAGGCAATATTTTGTTTCAGTTCTCACGCTCCAGTTCACAGAGACGATGAAACTAGCGCCTGATTGTTTTATTTTTACAAAAGCACAGCATTTTCTTGTTATTGTGAGTTAACACAAATAAAAGTATTTGCGAATAATGTATAATTGAAGAGTTCAGATGCAAAAGCCTCTAAATGCCATTTGAAATTTTCTTCTTTAATGATGATTTTAATCAAGCTTGTATATTTAAGTTCAGTGATTTCACTTAAATTGCAATGATAATTACCTATTAATTGTTATTTAAGTGAAATTACTGAACTTAAATGTACAAGTTTGATAAAAATCATCATTAAAGAAGAAAATTTCAAATGGCATTTAGAGGCTTTTGCATCTGAACTCTTCAATTATTTTCTGGATGACCAGAAATGATAGAGTATTTTAAGTTGTTTCCACTGTTGATAGGAAAATGCAAGTGTTCACACCCGCGCCTCTGTGCGGCATGTTTAATGGACTGTCCCTCCCTTGAGCAGGAACCGTTTTTTGTTCTCCAGAAGCCCTTGAACATATGACTTGCGGAATACAGTAAATATATAGTTCATATCACACACCATTATGCACTCCTGTAACTTTCAGCAGAAAAAAAAAAGTGAGGTGATGACCTCACACCGCGGTAGGCATCTCATTAACGCAATATTGGGGTTATCGTCACACCCCTTCCATACAGGTATGATTGGTGGAGTGCTGCAGAGTCATCGTTTAGAGTTGTACAGAGATAGTTGTTCTTCTTGAAGGTTCTCCTCTCTCCACAGAGAAATGCTGGAGCTCTGTTAGAGTGACCATCGGGTTCTTCATCACCTCCCAGACTAAGGCCCTTCTCCCCCAACCGCTCAGTTTGACCGGGTGGCCAGCTCTAGCGAGTGTCCTGGTGGTTCCGAACTTCTTCCATTTACTAATGATGGAAGTCACTGTGCTCATTGGGACCCCCCAGATCTGTGCCTTGATACAATCCTGTCTCGAATGTCTGCAGACATATCATGGCTAGGTTTGTGCTCTGACAGGCACTGCTAACTGTGGGACTTTATATAGAAAGATGTGTGCCTTTCCAAATCATGTCCAAACAACAGAGTTTTCCACAGTTGGAATCCAATTAAGAAACATCTTAAGGATGATCAGTGGAAACAAGATAAACCGGAGCTCAATTTTGAGTGTCATGGCAAAGGCTGTGTTTATTTTTTAATACACTTGAAAAGATTCTTCCACATTGTCATTATTGGTATTGTTTGTAGAATTTTGAGGAAAATAATGAATTTAATCCATTTTGGAATAAGGCTGTAACAAAATGTGGAATACTTTCTGGATGACCTGTATGTGAAAACCATAATAGCTGGGTCCTTTTGTGAAGAGAAACTGTTTTAATTTTAGAGAATATATATTTATGTATAATCTACCTGACTTAAACATCTGGTCAGCCATGATCAAATCATGCAGGGTGCTAATGTCGTCCCATCCAGGCAGAAACACCAGAATTGCTCCATCCTGAAAGACAAAGCAGCATCCCCGTCTCAAAAATATCACATACTTATTTTTTTAAATATCTTTCAATATTTTGGGCTCAGTAAGATATTTTATTTTTTAAGAAAGTAATTTCTTGTATTTAGTAGGCATAAGTAGGCATAAATAGATAAATGACAGTACCATCATTTAACCCCCTGGGATCGGCGGTCGCATAGGCTATACCAGCTCACTTTTTTTCTTATTAGTGCAAAAGAGAGTCAAAATACTATTGATTTTGATCTTACATGTAAGTGTTGTACACCATTAGACCCTGTTAAGTGTCTATTTTCTTGTGGATACTCACAATAAAAACAAAGTGTTGTGCCTTTCACCAAAAAAACAAAACAAAAAAAACATGATGCAAGTTCTGCGTTCTCTCTGTCAGTGAAGTCCATTCTGAAACATGTCCGGAAATGAACTGTAACTCAGCGAACACTCAGTCAAGCAGGAATACAGGGACACAGGCATGAAGCTTGAATTATTCTTCTAAATTAAATAATATTATATATATATTCTCAATTAATGTAATCTGTCTCTATGAAAAAAGAGAGATGTCAGTCATTTTCTTTTCAGCTCATTATAACTCATTAAGTTTTAATGTGAGCACGCTCACTGAGAGCACGTGCTATTCAAATGCAAATAATCTGAGGCAAGCCATGCAAACGTGTCATGCAAAAAAATCATTTACTTTGTCATCTTGATGTGCTGTGAGAAATAATTATATCTAATAATCCTGAAAAAAACGTCATTTCGAGGAGCAATGCATCAAGCTGACGTGAATAGTATTAAGTTATTTATTTTTAAGTGCTTTATTCTAATCGCGACATGGAATAGTGTCTGGAAACCACAAAAGACTGTTTAAATATGAATCGCGTTTCTGTGTGTGAAGAATGAACAGCACAGACGTGTACTGTTGTTTACTAAAACTTTGCGGTTTATTCAAACTCAACCAAGCTTTGACCAAACTATATTGCTATAGGCTACTGAGATAAGTAAAAATAGACTGAAATATGTTGAAATAAAATGTCTTTGTATAAGAAACAAACTGACAATTAACATTTATATGCTAATATATCATACATTTTTAGACAAGATTTGATTGATTAGTTTTTGGATAGATTATAAAGTTTTTACTGTAAAAAAAAAAGACTACTTTCACATAAAATAAACTTTTAATCACCAATTTCTACTCATTTGTTAAATATATAGTATGATGTTTTGTCAAAAATAATGTATGTATATTGAATTATCAACTAAGATGTTATTATAATGTTTATTCCAAAATTCAAACTAATGAATCCTTACCTTTGAAATATGCATGATAAAATATATACGATTTACAAAGAAAGATTACATTAGAAATATTAGTAAAATTGCAATGGTTGTTCTAGTTGTAACTTTTTTTTAGTCTTTTAATAGTGACAATTTGGGGGAGAGGATACATATTCCATAACTGTCTGAAAATACAGCATGAGAATTTATAAATATATACATATACATATACACACACACTTGGGTACCACAGGAAAGAATGCACACAATGCGAGTCTCTTGAGACAATTCAGATAGAAGATTCAGAATTTGTCAGAATATGTTAGTAAACATAATGAGAGCATGGATCCATCATGCATTGTTACCACTGTGCAGGCTGGTGGTGGTGGTGTAATGGTGTGGGGGATGTTTTCTTGGCACACTGTAGGCCCCTTAGTGCCAATTGGGCATCTTTAAAATGCCACGGCCTACCTGAGCATTGTTTCTGACCATGTTCATCCCTTTATGGCCATGATTTACCCATCCTCTGATGGCTACTTCCAGCAGAATAATGCACCATGTCACAAAGCTTGAAACATTTCAAATTCATTTCACCAGATCTCAACCCAATAGAGAATCTTTGGGATGTGGTGGAATGGGAGCTTCGTGCCCTGGATGTGCATCCCTCAAATCTGCAAAATCAACTGCAAGATGCTATCCTATCAATATGGGCCAACATTTCCAAAGAATGTTTTCAGCACCTTGTTGAATCAATGAATCAAGAATTAAAGGGATACTCCAACGTTTTTTCATATTAAACTATATTATTCCCTTAACTAAGACGAGTTGATACACATACCTCTGTCGTCTCAGTGTGTGCACTCAATTGCTCTGACGTGCGAGACACTTTGATCTCACTTAACTAGCCCAGTTCATTTAATATGGGCCACGCAGAGAAGCGACCAAACACCTTCACATTTTCGCTATTTAAATACAGTTACTCGAGCAGTGTAACTCGACCCAAAATAAAACGTTGCACTTTTCTAAGCGTGTAAAGTGGAATAAAGTGGAGAAACTGGCGGAATACCACAGCAAGTGCTTGGGAGCACTTCGACTCGCCGCAGTAATATCATCACTTGTGAAAAGTCCTCTCCCCCCTCTTACTCTATGATATGTCTATGATATATCTCACTCATAAATATGCGCCGAGTCAAAGTGCTCCCAAGCACTTGCTGGGGTATTCCGCCATAAAATATAGTTATCCACTTAGAAAAGCACAAATTTTTAGGTTGAGTTACACTACTCGTGTAACTGTATTTAAATAGGGAAAACGTGGAGGTGTTTGGTCGCTTCTCTGCTTGGCCCATATTGAAGGAACTGGGCTAGTTAAGTGCGATCAAAGTGTCTCGCGCGCGCCAGAGCGATTGAGTTCACGCACTGAGACGACAGAGGTATGCATCAACTCGTCTTAGTTAAGGGAATAACATAATTTAATACAAAAAAATGGTGGAATATCCTTTTAAGGCAGTTCTGGAGGCAAAAGGGGGCCAAACACAGTATTAATATGGTGTTCCTAATAATCCTTTAGGAACTTATTATATAAAATATATTTTAGTATTATTAAAATATATGAAAGAAGAAAAAAAAAGTTATTTTAAAATTGTAATATTGTTTCACAATTGAACTGTTTTTACTGTATTTTCGGTCAAATAAATGCAGTCTTGATGAGCATAAAGGTTTTCAAAAACATCCTAAAAATCTTACCAACCTCTTTCCCAAACTGCAGCGCTCATTTCAGGACAGGTTACAAATATAAATTACCCCCTAACAAACAAGGATGACAATAATAAAAATATATATTTTTTCACTTGGATCATGTAAACCACATAACAACTCAGAATGCCCTGGTAACCACATAACACCTTGGAAGCCACCCTGGAAGCCAACAGTCAAGTATCACCTATGTGTCATATCAAACGTGACTTAACCACTCAACCACACACACTTACTTGCAAACAAAGACACCATTAATGAAGTCACAAGGACAAAATTAAGGGTTTTCAGTTTTTTGTTTTCAAAAAATATTTTTGAGGGTTCCTAAATCACAAAGTGCATTTCCACACTGCAATCTGATGAGTAACTTTGGTCCTAAAAATGGAGCTGCCAACCAAACTCAGATCAAATCTATTATGTTAGCAAAAGCAATCCGATGGTTTAAAAATAAAAATTCATAAAAATTCAGTCGTAAGGCAAGAGAGAGATAAAACATGAAGTGTTCCTAGGCGGCCCTGGTTCTATATTTAACATGCCAGCAACGTCACATCAAGGGTACATGACAAATTAAACAGAATCAACTTGCTCTTGCAGTGCATGCTTGCACATGAGTGTGTGTCGCTGGTTGTGCATTCCAACAGGAATAGGCAAGTGTATGAATACGTTTCAGTGCATTCGGTGACCCAGATTCCCCTGTGTGGAGCAAAACAAACCTGACCCTAAAAAGCCCATTATTCCCACATGTTATGATTAATTATCAAAACTTAATCTTCCTGTTCTGCTGTGACATCCAGGACTGTGACATTGATGATGCAAGTGCTCCTTTGTACAAAAACTTTGCTCTTCATCTTACTCCCAAGCAAAGACAATACTTTGAACTATGAACTAGTCCCATCTAATCTGCCTCACAGTACAGGGCAGGATATTTGCCTGTCATTTTAGAGGTTATGTTTTCAAGTCAGAGCTTATTTCTTCTTACAGTCTTACAATCGCAGAACTCACCTCCTATATGACAACCCACCCTGCTGTCTCTGACATTTTGGACTCTACTTTATTTTTATTTATTTTTATTTATTGCTGCACTATCCTAGTAAGGGTCAATGGACTCTTAACTGCCATACAGTAATTCAATTTATATACAATTATGCTGTATCACAAAATGTAAATGTTTGACTACATAACACCATGGCTCAATGTGTAATTAAGCATGTACCTTGTAATCACTAGGCCACATCTTCAGTTGGTTACTATTTTTGAGTATGACCATAAAATGATAAAAGTGGCCCAAACGGACATTTGGTGAAGACTTAATGTAATGAAGACTTGGTAATTTGTGCACCAAGAAAGATTGTACAGAACAAATTGAAGTGCTGATTTTACTTTTTATCCAAATAATATTCCGTGTAAATATAAATATAAAATATAAATATCTGTGCAATATAAAATGTAAAACCATTTACTCAATTCAATTCATCTTTTAGGTATACAATATTTTTAAATGCATTTTCAATTGTATTTTTTTTAAAAACCATTTGATCTCGCAATCTTAATTAATCTTAATTTCAGCATTTGAGAATACATGACGGTAAAAGGTCGGAAGACAAGTTTTTTTTATTTTTTTTTTTTATATGTGTGTGTGTGTATACACATACACACACACACACACACATATATAGATGGGTTTAAACTAGATGAGCTACAAAAGTAGACCTCGGTGTAGTGTTAATTTCGTTAACGAAAACTAAACGAAAATATTTTCGTCAACGCACATTTTTCACCGAACGAAAACTAGACGAGACGAGACTAAAATCCCCACTAATAAACAATAACTAGGAGTAAATCAGAAATAATTTTCGTAGACTAATAAAGACGAGACGAAAATGCAGTTCGGTAAATAAAGACTGGGCTAAAATCTATGGACATTTTAGTTCACGAACAAAGACGAGACGAAAATTACATATTATTATATGATATGGTTTTGTCAAATACTGTCTCCTCCTCCGCCTCCTCCTCGTCAGCTCTTCCGCCACACACCCACTTTCAAACCTGGAGCGGGCGGGCACAGTCAGTCAGAGTAGCCTACACAACACGGAGCAGACAGGAGCTGGATTCACGGTGAGGCGGCGGCGACAGGTTAAAAGTAAAACATGCTTTGCACGGGGCTCGTGAGAAAGAAGAGACGTGATATATGGACACATTTTGTTACAATGATAAACTAACTAATGATGGCTAATAGCATTTAGTATCCAGGCTGGCTATGTTACGTTAGCTTTTTAGCACGTAGCGACCGTAGCCACTTGTTGATAGAATTGTATGTGAAGTTAAATTTATGCTAACTTAGATATGTTATACTGGCCGGGCAACTATAGTTTCAGTTAAATTTGATTAAAGCAGACAGACGCTTTAAAAAGATTTCATACGTTCTAGCAAGCTATGCCTTGTTTCACCTTAATACTACCTTTATATACCATGTGAACTAGCTGGCAGGAAAGCACTTTTGTTGTATCAGTTGGAGTTTTTTTTTTTTTTTTTTTCACAACATTGACCTCAAATCTATTTATTTTTTAATTCTATGTGAACTAGCTTTAAACAGCCAGCACTTGTGTTAAGTTCATAATACACTTTATTTTATTTATTTGTTTCCTTTGTCAGGTGTATTTTATTTGTTTTAATGCAAGCATTTGTGTTTGTGTCTTTGAACCTTAACAATGTTCAAAATAAATATGAAAATATTGTCAGTACATCTTCCATGTCTGCATGTGTTCCTTAAAATTGTGTTTTTTATCAAAAAGATGAAAGAAAATGTTGAAATGTGAAATAATTTTAGGAAATGTTTAATATTATCTGCTGACAACAAAGTAAAAGGTTAAAATGATGTCCTGACTAAAACTAGACTAAAATGTTGACAGTTTTTTTTGACTACGATTAAAATTATGTTTTCTTGGACTAAAATAAAGACTAAAATGCTCGACTTATAGTCGACTAAAACTAGACTAAATAAAAATGGGATGATGTCGACTAAATGTGATAAAAACTAACAAGCGATGCTGAAACTGGACTAAAACTGAAACTAAATTTAAAAATGGCTGGTAAAATTAACACTACCTCGGTGGAAAAAAAATAATATGAGCCATTTAAGGGGTATAAAAGTAGTTTTTTATAAGATAATCATATTTCTCATATTTAAGAATTCAGACTAATTGTATCCATGTAGAGTATGAACTCGTAGTAATATGAACAGGATATGAATGTGGTATTGGGAGAGGAGAGTCTGTTAAGTAGTTTCATTAACACAAGTTTAATGCCAACATGTTTCTGCTTTACTCGTGGCTCACCATCTGGCCCTGATTTAGCCAAGTCACTTGGACACACACTCAAACACACAAAAATAACAGCCAGGCTTACAAGGAAGGCACTCACATCCTCTTTCATTACGATGTGTCGGATCAATCCTACGATGAGCTCCAGATTGATCTTCTCATCATCATCCATCATCTGAAGCGTGTCAATGGTGCTGTCTGAGTACCTGCCAATCACAGACAGCAGACAGGTCATGCTACAGCACATCTCAGTGACTCAACACAAGCGCTGCTAAATATTTATACTTCAAAAATTCACTTTAACAGCTGCAAGAAAAAACATAAACAATGCCTAATTTCAGCCCCCCCCCCCCCCCAAAGCTGTATTGTCAAACGGCACTAAATAACTCAAGGCAATAAAATGAGGCAATTCGTTAAATAGTTTGCATTTACTTTAATGCGTTTGAACATCAAAGTTTGAGGTTGCATTCAATATGGGAATTGATTTATTACCGAGTTGTTTTTCAAAAAATACTGACCGATCTCTGAGCGTACGGGCGTAACAGGGCCAGCTTTCATGGTATTCTGCCTCTTTCTGCTCTTTCTCTGGCCGTGCATTCTGTCCATGCATAAACCCTCTCTTATAGCGAGGTCTTCGGTCATGTTGCTTTGGCTGGAATCTATGAAACAAAGTTAGAAGACACACCCAGCATTCAGTCCGTCAACTTCTTTCCTGCATATATTGTAGCCATTGTGCCATTTCATGTGGGAAATTCTCAAATGGAGTTAAAACCACTATAAAATAAAAAGAAATAGGAATAGATCTCTGAAAAATTACAAGTGTGTAATCAGTTAATCTCCCATAGTAATTCAAAAAGCTGTGATTAGTAAATGTGTGAACTGATGAACTGTAAAGAACAGAGCTGCTTAAAGAATTAGTTCACCTCAAAAAGAAAATTTCTTAATAATTTACTCACCCCAATGCCATCCAAGATATCCATGTCTACCCTTCCTCAGTGGAAGAGAAAATTATTATTATTATTTTTTTAAATTAAATTTTTTTTTGAGGAAAACATTTCTGGATTTTTCTGGGCAGCAGTGGTTCATGTAGGTTGTCTACAAACTGGAAGGTTGGTGGTTCAATCCCTCGTCACACCTCGCTAACCCCAGCTGCTCCCGACGAGCTGGATGGCACCTTGCATGGCTAACACCACCATCAGTGTATGAATGAGTGCGTGAATGGGTGAATGTGAGGCAATATGTAAAGCACTTTGGTGGCCATTGGGTCTGATAAAGTGCTATATAGAATGGGGCCAAAAGTATTTAGTCAGCCACTGATTGTGAAAGTTCTCCTACTTTAGAATGATGAGAGAGGTCTGTAATTTTCATCATAGGTACACTTCAACTATGAGAGACAAAATGAAAAAAAAAAAAAATCCAGGAAATCACATTGTAGGATTCTTAAAGAAATTATTTGTAAATTATGGTGAAAGATAAGTATTTGGTCAATAGCAAAAGTTCAACTCAATACTTTGTAACGTAACCTCTGTTGGCAATGACAGAGGTCAAACGTTTCCTGTAAGTCTTCACCAGGTTTGCATACACCGTAGCTGGTATTTTGGCCCATTCCTCCGTGCAGATCTCCTCTAGAACAGTGATGTTTCGGGGCTGTCGCTGGGCAACACAGACTTTCAACTCCCTCCACAAATTTTCTATGGGGTTGAGGTCTGGAGACTGGCTAGACCACTCCAGGACCTTGAACTGCTTTTTACGGAGCCACTCCTTCGTTGCTGGGGCGGTGTGTTTGTGATCATTGTCATGCTGGAAGACCCAGCCACGTTTCATCTTCAAGGCTCTCACTGATGGAAGGAGGTTTTGGCTTAAAATCTCACGATACATGCCCCCGTTCATTCTTCCCTCAACACGGATCAGTTTTTCTGTCCCCTTTGCAGAAAAACAGCCCCAAAGCATGATGTTTCCTCCCCCATGCTTCAGAGTAAGTATGGTGTTCTTGGGACGCAACTCTGCATTCTTCTTCCTCCAAACACGACGAGTTGAGTTTTTACCAAAAAGTTCTATTTTGGTTTCATCTGACCACATGATATTCTCCCATTCCTCTTCTGGATCATCCATATGCTCTCTAGCAAACTTCAGATGGGCCTGGACATGTACTGGCTTAAGCAGGGGGACACGCCTGGCACTGCAGGATTTGAGTCCCCCTCAGTGTAGTGTGTTACTTATGGTAGCCTTTGTTACTTTTGTCCCAGCTCTCTGCAGGTCATTCATCAGGTCCCCCCGTGTATTTCTGGAATTTTTGCTCACCGTTCTCATGATGACCCCACAGGATGAGATCTTGCATGGAGCCCCAGATCGAGGAAGATTATGAGTGGTCTTGTATGTCTTCCATTTTCTTACAATTGCTCCCACAGTTGATTTGGAAGCTGCTTGCCTATTGTAGATTCACTCTTCCCAGCCTGGTGCAGGTCTACAATTTTCTTGACTGAGGCTGTGGACAGGTGTCTTTTATACAGATAACGGGTTCAAACAGGTGCCAATAATACCGAGCGGAGGACAGAAAAGCTTCTTAAAGAAGTTGTTACAGGTCAGTGAGAGCCAGAAATCTTGCTGGTTTGTGGGTGACCAAATACTTATTTTCCACCATAATTTATAAATACATTCTTTAAAAATCCTACAATGTGATTTCCTGGATTTTTTTTTCTCATTTTGTCTCTCATATTTGAAGTGTACCTATGATGAAAATTACAGATCTCTCTCATTATTCTAAGTAGGAGAACTTTCACAATCAGTGGCTGACTAAATACTTTTTGGTCCCACTGTAAATGCAGTCCATTTACCACTCGAAGAAAAATCCAGAAATATTTTCCTCTAAAAAAATATTTTCGCTTCCACTGAGGAAAGAAAGACATGGGGACATGGACATGCCAAGTTCCATCTGTTTACTGAAGTCAGTCATGACCGGTATCATTGTAAAGCTCTGAATCTCCTGCACAATGCTATGTAACCCAAATATGGGCATTTCCTTTCTATTAGTAACCAATCGGCCATGTCCAAAGGGTGATTTAAAGCTATTGACAAAATCTCATTGGCTAATGCTGGTTTCTGCTAATGTGATTCACTCAGACGCATTACGTGGTGTACTCTGCCAATGTTAATTCATTGAGGTACTGCAGTTGTAGGCCTTTATTCCTGCCATGTTATTAAATAATCAGTTTAGTTTTCATGAGCTTGAAATATTATATCTTATTATTACTAAAGGCCTGAGCATTTATTATGTTTTTAAGCACTTCTTCCCAATAGAAATGTATTAAATTCCCTACTTAAATTCTTAAATGCCTTTTTCTCAAAGTGAGGTTTTTTTCATTCTCCTGTACAAATATCTCAGCCTATGTAGCACCTATGTTCACTAAACTTTCCAGTTATACACTTAACAGTATTCTGAAGATATTTTCCTGGCCTGATTTATGCGACATTTTAATTAAAAAAAAAATATGTCGAAAATTGTTGTTTTTTTAAGGCTATGGACAGTATATTTTAATTTCCAAGGTAATGAAAGCATATATCCTGAAATCCCTCTGAACTTTTTTTTTATCTTGTGTTTAAATAAAATGAAAAAAGAATTTTGCACCTGGCTTTATCATATACCGAAAATATATGCAAAATTGTGCATATTTAATGAGGCAATGGCTAATTTGCATAATTAAACATGCATATTTCAAAAACTTATAATACATTTGTTTTGCAAATCTTGTGCAAGTAATCAACTGAGAAAGTTTCATGGTGATATCTATTATTTATATTTATTTTATTACTTTTATTTATTTTTTACCCTATTCAACTGTAGTGTCTCGCCTTAAAGGGGTCATGAACTGGTTTTTCACATTTTATTTTATTGTTGTCTGAAGTGAACTTATGACGTTCGCTAGTTTTTTGCATTCAAAAACATCAAAATGAATAACTAATAAGCTATTTCTACCCTAGTTTTGAACCCAGCATAGAAACGCTCGATTTTTATGGGCGTCTCACACTGAAGACTTGGAAGTAAACGCCCACTGTTGTGAGTGGATCACAGTTTTGCATATTATAATGACTTTCAACTCACCTCGTCAGTGTACGTGGGGAAAATTGTTTTGACAACGTTGTATACGTGAAAACGTTATATGTATGTAATATGTTGTAAAATGGCAACCGGAATGATTCGCCCATACATGTTCGACCCAGAGTCCGTGTGTTGCACCATTCCTGTCAGATACAATATAGACGGCACAGCACTGTCTTGTTTACAATCCAGTCTTGTTTACAAACCAATCCTCAGTGAAATCAAGCAAACAGATGGTTTTACACTCATCAGCTGGAACGTCTCGGTAGCTCGATCCGGTTTGTCATCACGAGGTAGGCCTATGTTATTGAGCTATGCGTGTAATGCGCGAATCAGTGGACCGGGCTAATCCGGCCGTGTTGAAGTAGAAGTTGATCTTCTGTGGGGGTGGTGTTTTATCCTCTTTGACGTCATAGTTCCCCACTTTGAAAAAAAGAGTCGTTTCCTGAGGCTGGTGTCAATAAAAGGGTTTTTTTCATTTAAATGTAAATTATTTCTGTGATGGAAAAGCTGAATTTTCAGCAGTCATCAGTGTCACATGATCCATCAAAAATCATTCTAATATGTTGATGTAGGTGTTCATGAAACATTTTTGATTATTATTATTATTATTATTATTAATGCTAAAAACTGTTGTGTAAAAAGTATTTTTGTGGAAACAATAATATTTCTTATATTCTTTGATGAATATATATATATATATATATATATATTTTAACACTTATTTTTGTGGAAACAGTAATAATTTTTTGGATTCTTTGACGAATAGAACGTTTTTTATGCATTTATTTGAAATAAAAATATTTTGTAACATTATAAATTAATGTCATTTTTTCTCACTTTAATGTATCCTTAGCAAGAGCAGTGAATGTATCCATTTCTTACATTGGTTTACTGACCCCAAACTTAAGAAATACTATTGCATTTTGTAAATATATCACAAAAGAAATTGTAAATGAGCTCACCTAAGCAATTCTACCACATCCTCCAGTAAAAACTCTTTCACTGGGTATGTGTATCCAGGAATATGGATCATGGGACAATTATCTATAAGAGAAAGAACATGCAATCTTCAGTGACTACCATAGTTATGTGTCTGATCCTTATTGAATGGTTGGATTCCCACAGTTCATGATCTTAAAGTTATGTTAATTCTCTTACTGAAATACTTGCTGAATTTCTCAGCGTTAAGTGTCGCACTCATGAGGACTACTTTTAGGTCCTTTCGAGCAATTAACAGGTCCTTCACTATGGTGAGAAGAACATCAGACTGAAGACTCCTCTCATGAATTTCATCCAAGATCAGGTGACTTACGCTAGAGAGGTATCTGGGGGGGAGAAAAAAAAAAGTTCCATAAGTGCTCAAAATAATGTTTGTGCTCTATGCATATTCTTATCAATAACAGATAAGCCCTGCCATTTCTGTTATGTATGAGAAACAGTACACAGCAAAAGTGCCAAAAGCTTAACAAGACAGGGCTGCCCATTTGAACCGTGCACTAAACTGAACATTTATCAGCTCGACTCAGCGTGAGCTAAGAACATATGCTTTTACTCCCTGATCGTCCTGCTCACATGACCACTGAACAGCACTGTGTGTTCTCCCATACAAACCATTAATCAAATGCTTAGTGGTTTAACTAGTTTGAAGCCAGATGAAACAGTGCTAACATTCCTAACAACACTGACACAGAAAACAGGAGAAACATTGAGCTAAAATTGTAAGTTGCCAACATTAACACTAACTGAAACACTAACTGATTGTGGCAGAAATGTGGGATATTCAAATCAAATTTTATTTTATTATTAATGTAGACATTGAATGTATTAAAGGAGTAATTTAATATAATTACAGTATTTTTGTTAGTAGGCTATAGCAGTTCCCTTTCATCCAACATTAACACTAACTGAAACCATGGGGTTGTGGCAGAAATGTGTCATATTCAAATCTAAATTTATTTTATTATTAATGTAGACATTAAATGTATTAAAGGAGTAATTTCATATAAGTACAGTATTTTTGTTAATAGGCTATAGCAGTTCCCTTTCAACTTGTCTCTCCGTGCTACCAAGGAGACGGCACGTGCCATCGGCAGCTTCATAGCAGCACTGGTAGCCACGAAGGGACAATTGCAGCTGTATCTGTCAGGCATTAGGGACAAGGACAGGGCTTGTCTTCTCGATGCTGTTGGAGAATTCTGCTTGTCCTATGTACATGTGAAAGAAGCGTGCTGTACATGTGAAAGTTGCGTGCATGTGATGTAATGCCAAGCAGAAAAAAACTAGGGTCATAGGGCACATGAGGACAGGGACGAGAGATTGGAAAAGTACCCAAAAAACACTTGTAGCACAGATGCAGGTGTTGGGAGGCACTGGGAGAGAAACAGATTGTATACAATGTAACAATGTACCACTGGGAAAAGCGTACTGAAACAAGGAGCCCATTGTGTAAAAAGACACTAATACAGATGTCCATTTTTTTTTAAATAAATGATACGCATGCGCAAAGAAGGTTGCCCCAATAAAATGATGATGCAGGTGTTTTTAATCTGGGAGGAGTAAAAATGAGGAGCAAAGAGAGAAATGATAACGATTCAAGCGCTAATTGGGTACTACAAGGTATAAGAATGTGTGCAGACCATTGTAAGATCAGATGGCCAGCTGGCATCTCACTTTATTGAACTGCTCAATAAAGTTACTTCTTCTGAGACCTGAAACCTTGACTCTGAGCAATTTCTTCAAGACCTGAACCAGACTTTGATGATTTGAATTGGGACTGGAAATCTGCCACAACAATGCCTTCTGGCCTTTTCGGCGACAGTGTCAATAACTTATCCCCCGTCGTTGTTCCAGGTTTTGTGGGTCTGCTACCAGGGGGCAGTCCCAGGAGACCGCCGCCAGCTCCTCGCACGTGCTGAGGCAGAAGGAGAGTGTAGCCTCTCGTGCTCCCCCGCAAAAGGCCTGGAGCCAAAGGCAACATGCTAGGCCGAAGTCTTCCAAACCGAAGACAGATTTGAGGACTATTATTCAGGCAAGGAAGGCTTCGGCTAAGAGGCCCTGACGCGATGCGCAGGCCTCTGAGGGCAACCCTCTTTGCTAAGGGGGTGTCTCCTGCTCGTATTAATACCATCTAAACCACGATGAAGAGTAAGTAAGTTGCTTTGGATAAAAGCATCGGCTAAAAGACTAAATGTAAATGTAATGAGTATTAGGTTAGGGCAGGCCATCACTGTCAAACACTTTCAAATGGTTTTGAGCCTCATGGCTGCAGCTTCCATAGTAGTGCGTTTTGGTCTGCTCCTTATGAGGGCCTTGCAGTGATGGCTCAGGACTAAGGGGTTTTCTCCACTAGGGAACCCCTTTCACATGATCAGAGTTACATGCAGATGCCATCGTGCTCTCGTCATGTGGAAGAAACGATGGTTCCTGTCTCACGGCCCAGCTTTGGGAGCACCATGTCAGAGAAAGACTCTGACTACGGATGCGTCCCTCATGGACTGGGGTGCGGTTATGGAGGCCCGTTACACCCGAGGTACTCGGAAGGATCATCATCTCTCAGGGCACATTAATCGCTTGGAGATGTTTGCTGTATTCTTTGACCTGAGGCACTTCCTTGTAGACCTCAGAGGCCATCATGTTCTTATTAGGACAGACAATTGTCGGTTGTCTCTTATATCATCCGCCAAGGAGGTCTGAGATCATGCCCTCTTTCTAGACTGGCGCATCAGATTCTTCAATGGTCCAAGGGATACATTTCTCTCTGTTAGATCTATTTACATTCCTGAGGTTGATAATGTGGGAGCAAATATCCTGTCTAGGCAGGGGCTGAGGCCCGGGGAATGGCGGCTCCACCCTGAAGTAGTTAAAGTCCCCGTGAACCGGAAGCTGCAAACGATTTTTCTCCAGTGCTGTGACGTATTTCCAAGTGAAACGGAATATTGAACAGAGGGCAGGGTTTTACTCTAGCGCTCCTCCTCTCCATCTCTCGCTCATAGCAAACTAACGGTTTGAGGGGAGTGGTTAAGCGTTTCCCCACCCAAGCTGTGAAACCTACGTCATCAGAAAAAGAAACCGTTCCAGACCCGAAGTAACTTTTCAGATTTTGATTAAAGATTACTAAGGTAAAACATTTTTTTAATATATATTCACTTGCACGGATTAATTGTTCACCACAAGACTAGTAATATGCGCTAACAAAGTAAATAGGTTCAATTTTGATTTCACGGGGACTTTAAGCTTATACAGGGCTCCAGACTAACTTTTTTTTACTAGGAGCGCTGTAGTCCCTAACTGAAAATTTTAAAGGAAAACTCCGGTGCAAAATGAACCTTTGGTCTAATAAAACATCAGTACCTAGTCAACCATTCTCTGAGATTTGTTTTCATGATAATCAAATGTATAGAGTTTTATCTCTAAAAACTGTTTAGCGTATAATGCTAGTACTGGGGACATTTACAAAGTAAAAAGAAATCGCTAGTTTATACCACTAACAAGGCTCAAAATAGCCCCACACTCACACAGTAACATAATGAGGGTCCTTACATGCAGAACGAAGCATTGAGAACTTTGTAAGTGAGATCTTTTAATAAGAAGATACTTTATAAAGACAGTTCACTTTGTGTATACAGGCGGCGCCATCTTTGAAAAACAGTCACGACAAGTCAAACCACGAACGACGTGCTGAGTGAGCTGAACTGTATGAAGTTCAGCGAACTTCTCAACTGTATGAACAGCATTCGGGGATCGACTTATCGAGACTATTTTCTAAGATGGCTCCTGTCTGTATACACGAAGTGAACTGTCTTTATTATGTATCTTCTTATTAAACGGTCTGTACACTTACAAAGTTCTCAATGCTTCATTTTGCATGGATGGACCCTCATTATGTTACTGTGTGAGTGTGGGGCTATTTTGAGCCTTGTTAGTGGTATAAACTAGCGATTTCTTTTTACTTCGTAAATGCCGGCTGTTTAGCGGATAAACAGACGAGCGGATAAAGTCCGTGAGGCGCGCGCAGTTCAAAAGAGTTTCGTTCTGCTTTTGGCACATAAATATTATCAAACATTTATCGAACGCTTGATATCGTTTTATAGAGAAAAAATGTATGAGCATATCAATTTAAGAGGTCTAATCTAAATGTCATTTATGAACTTGTATGGAAAATCCGGACATTTTTATGACTTTTTATGGCCTAAAATTCTTATCAATAAATTTAAGACATTTCATGACTTTTAATGACTCCACGGAACCCCTGTCACAGGGCTCCAGACTAAAATTTGAGGGCAGCATCACCGGAACCACTGAGTGAAAAAAAAAAAAAAAAAAAAAAAATCAGGTAGCACTGTGGCTCACAATAAAGCACTAAGCTTAATTTAGGGTGTAGATTTTAACTAATCTTAAACTAACTAAGAAATTAACTTTAGTTATTATTATTTATAACGTCTTAAAATAAAATAAAAAACAAAAGGAGTGAAAAATGTATATTAAAGGAGTGAAAATAGCCAATAAACTTTTTTTTTTTTTTTAAATCAGTGTTTTCCAATATTTCAACTATTTAGTTTTAGGATAATCTTTGAAGGATGAACAAAAATATGGAAACATATGTATAGTAATATTCAATTTGAAATGTAATATGCAAAATGACAATGCAATATGTAAAACGGCATTGCATTTTGCATTTAAATTTACATTATACATTACCATTCTAGCAACGTTTGGTGCAAAATGGAAATTAAATTACATAATTT